TCAAAAACCTTCCTAAACAGTTATGTAGAAGCGGGCGGTCGGAACGTGCGTGCAGGAGGAGGATATTTTGCTGTTTCGCCCGTAAGCCAGTCCCGCATGGACCGGATGGATCGGTCCTATGGACCGGTCTAACAATACTCCCCTCCTAAAGATCCACCTTGTCCTCAAGGTGGAAATATGCTCATGTTCCCGTGGAGGTAGCCATTCTTGAGGAGGCTAAAAAACCTTACCGAATTGTGGAAACAAGGGTTGCACTAAAAGAGAAACATCCCCTCCCTCCTCCAATCTGATCACCTCCAGCCTGTGTAGTTTCACCAGATAATCTTCCCCTGCTTCTTGTATTCTCCTAACCATGGTCTTAAGTGATACCATGGCTTTGGATAGCTCTGCATCTCCCCTTATAATTACCTTTCTCCCATCCACCCTTAATTCCATCGTGAGTGCTCCCTAATTGTCCTTGGTTTCCCCCAAGGTTTGCAACTACTTCATCCTTAAGATGACATCAGTACTTCTTAACTTCAGTGGAAGAAAAATCCTTCCTTACATGAATCCCCTGTATGGTCAACAACACTCCTCTACAAATTCTCTGGCCTTTCTCCACCTTCCTTGTACTCCTCATAATCACATAATAATCGGTGTCCACCAATTTCACTCCCAGTTGATTGACGCCATGAGTGAAAATGAAATTATGGGTAGCCCCACTGTCAATCAAAACTATCACCTCTACGCTTGCTATTTCCCCCTTCACCTTCATCATATGATTCAAAGTGAATCCTACTACTGAATTCAGGGGGACCTCTGCCACATTCTGATGCAGCTTGTCATCCATCTCTCTCTCACCTCCTTCATTTTTCTCGTCATCACAGACGGTGAGAACCTGAAGAGTTCGATCCCTACACCTGTGCCCTGGAGTATACTTTTCATCACACCGGAAACATAACCCCTTTGCCCTCTTCTCCTGTATCTCATTCTCTGTCAGCCTCTTAAAATTTTCCCCACTCCCTCCTGGCTTCTCCTTGATGGTTTCATGAAATCTTCCTGATGCCGAACCCTTGGGTGCTAAATGAGTAGTCATCATCCTGTGAGTGCCTCCTAAACTACCACTCTTGACTCCCCTCTGTAGATTCTTCTGATTTCCACCAATTGGGCCAATTTCATGGCCTCTCCTAAGTCACAAGGCATCATAACCTTCACTGTCGCTCGGATCTCTGCCTTCAATCCCTTCATAAAATTCCCCTCCAATACAATTATTTGATAATCGCTCTACTCTACTGGCCAGGTGCTCAAACCGCTCTCAGTAGTCTGCTACTGATCCCTTCTGCGTCAAAGCAAAGAACTGCTCATAGAAATCTCATTCTCGGTTAGTTTGGAAACCTTCTATTATGCAATCATTGAATTCCCTCTAGTTCCTGATAGGTCTTCTCTGGTCTCTCCACTAGTACTATGACAGTGCCTTCTCTTCCAAGCATAAGCCTGCCGCTGTCAGCTTCTCCTCCTCCGTCAGCCCATTGATGGAGAAGTATCTCTCCACCTTATAAATCCATTAATTCAAATATGGGCATCTTCAGCTTCCTCACCTTCTGATCTCCACCATTCTCTCTTATTCTTCTATAGCCTCCCCTCTCCCAAGTGCTCAGCCCTCCCCACATCTCTCGATCTTCCCTTGCCCTGCAATAGCCCAAACCCCCTTCGAATTCCCCTCTTCTTTCTTCAAAATCAGCACCTCGGTGGCCATAGTATCCCTCCTGGCATTCCCCATATCCACCTCCTCTTTCTTCCCTTTGGATAGGCTCCAGATGGGGTCTTCTTCCTTCTCCTTCCATAATTTCCACATCATCTTCCTCCCTACGAATTTCAGAATTCCTGCTTTCCCTTTCCACCCCTTTTGCCACAGAAGATGCCATTTGGTTTTGAATTTCCAACATTTTTGTCATCATGTCCCGGAGATCGGCTACTTATCCTTCCATAGAGGGAATCCTTTCCTCCACCGTTGTCTTGATTTGATTCATCTCTCCTTCAAGCTTTCTTCTATCGCATCTATTTTCTTGGCCACCATCTCGATCCAGATTTTTGTAGATCCAAAAAATTATGGATTTGGATTACAAAACAGCAACTTTCTCTTTTCCCAGACAAAATTCAGCCGCTGGAATTCGCCAAAATCAGCCCACAAATACTCCCAAGACTTGCTATGATACCAATTTGATAGGAAACACTTGTAGATCTCAATTGTTTCCTATCAATCTTCGAAAAACTGCGAGAATTCTTCACAAAAATCTGCACAAAGTCACCAAAAAAAGTAGATAATTTGTATTATTTGATGAAAGGGAAACGGAAAATACCAAGATACAATTGATTCCTTATGCGAGAGGAGGATCGATCTCTCCCAAATCTCTAGATGCCGTTAGAGTCCAAAGAAAACCTAGATTAATGCATACAATTCAAAAAAAAAAAACTCTAAACAGTCCCTACATTCAATTTCCATCCTAAACTTCCTTCAAAATCTTTCCTAACAGCAATGTAGAAGCGGGCGGTAGGAACGTGCGCACATGAGACGGTCATGTCTGCGGTTTTGCCCATAAGACGGTCCCGTCTAGACCAGCTGGACCGGTCTAACACAATCCTTGTCTCCAGTCTTTATTTCTAGGGTAGCGCACTCACAACTTTGATCTAGTTCTCTGCTTTCCCCCACTGGTTGTTAATTTTTGTTCACACTCTCTTGTTCAGCATTGTGCACTTTTGCTTCCTCATGATCTAGATCATCCCAAAATAGCTATTTCATCTAAGTATTTTTGTTTGGTTCCTAATCCACTTCTGTCATATGCTTGTTTAGTGATTTCACATTGTGATGCTTCCCCTATGACTACTTTTGCGCCAAGGATATTAATTGTTGTGGAATTTCATATTACATGTGCTTTTTGTTTTTTTCTGAGGCTGTTAGGGATAAAATTGATCTCCACCTTTCACAATAAAATCACTCTTTTTTATCTGATGATTATCTCTGAATTGGCATCTGCTTTCTCTTTTACTATTCTTGACAAGATTTTTAGGGGTCATCCTAGTCTTGTTATTATTTGTAGATTCATGTTTAATTTACCATTTATTAGAGATTTTTTAATGGGGCTTATTGATGCTCGTCATGTTCTTATCAAATTATCACCAAATGTTGATTTTGCAAGACTTTTCTCAACGAGATTAGACTATTTGGATGATTTTTTGGTGTCGAAGCTTAAGTGGCTTCTTACTTTGATCATTTAGAAGAAACACTTGTAACTCTGCTTTGGGTTTCTTTTTCCTTTTCTTCAAATTCACTATTTTAGCTAATTCACTCTATTTTTTTTTTTTGGTTTTATTTTTGAGAAGTCATTTCAAGGTATTCTGCTACTATTGAGCTCTCTAGGTCATCAATGGCTAAGGCCCTGCTAGAAATGGATATTACTATTTGTTTAGAGGAGATTTTGATAAGTTCCACTTTTTGTGTTTAAATGATCAAAACCTACATTCAATTGTCGTGGTTATAGTTCCAACTACATTTGATTAGGTTTATACAAAAATTTTAGCCAATTTTGATCTTGTTATGAAATCAAAGTCATCCCTCATAGGCGTTCTAGTCTAAAGGAGATGATCAACAGCTCATCTATATGCATGATCATTGATATATATTCATCAAAAGTATTAGCTTCTCATGATCATCTTCTTATTTGGGATATGTGTGATGCAAATTGCTCTAATAGTAGTACTTCTAACATAGGAGAACAAGTGAATAAAATGTTTCAAATTCTCAATGCCAAAAGGGGCAGAAATGGAAAAAAAAATTACCGCCCTCCAAACTTTCCCAATCTTGAATTCTATAAATGAGAAATGCTGAGGTTGTCCTCTTCCATCATAAGGACTCTTGCTTTATTGTTATTTAGTCATCTTTGATAGCGTATTTTGATTTTTTCTTTGTCAACTAACAATTCTATTCAATTGCTTGATGTTTTGCTTCTTTGGTTGATTATAAATTTTTTATTTTAAAAGAGAACATTGAAATTATGCATTTTTAAGTATAAACTTATATATTCCTATTGTAAACTTGCTCAACTTGGTAACCCATGAAAGACACACTGTATGAAACATCCAGCCAAACCATGAACTTTTCTGCTTTTGAGGGTGAAACATTGAGGGGCCTAATTAAGCCCAATAAATTAGCAGATGAATGCTCATCACCCCAAAGGCTAAGTTAATGGATAAGAACCACTATAAGGATAGGGAACTCAAAACTTGTTTCTCTTCTAAGGTTGGACTATTTTTTCACTCTCATGTATATCCCAATGAAGCCTGTGTTGGGAATTGTATTATGATCTTGCCTCATGGTTCAGATTTGTGTAAGATGCAATAATGAATCATTCATTGGATAATCCTCCATGAATTTAAAAACATATTTTGGATATCTCCAAAACTTCATCACTTGATGCGACAATGCTTTAGTTGTTGGGATCTCTAAGAAATATATCTTCCATATACTTCCATTAGTGCTACACGCGGATGCATCAACTAAGAAGATAGTTTAAGTGTAAGACAGTATTTGATGTATGTAGTACCTCCTTTTTCTCAGCTGGGAAACCCTTCAAGTTATTCTTTTGGCATTATGCAATTTGTACATCTTTTTTTGTATATTTCGTTATAGTCTTATCCAATATCCCATGAAACTGCTTTTCCTTGGTATATTGTCAATTGTAGTAGGCATTTTATCCCTAGATGAAGTATCTAGACTTTGATTGAAGAAAAAGTTTTTAAATTCATGGTTCTATTAGTCCTGAAAGGAGCTTGGAATTCTAGGATTCATGGAAATTTTGTTAATTTTTAGCAATCATTTATTTCAATTGATAGTAGGGTGCGCGCATATGCCTAATCTGAGCTGATAATTTTTCATTAGATCATGAGTAATTTATTTACTGCATCACATGATTATTTGATTGATGATGTAACTCTACTTGGAATTTTTCTATCTTTTTGTGCAGTATTTCCTTTATCAAATCCTTCGTGGACTAAAATACATACATTCTGCAAGTGTTCTACATAGAGATTTGAAGCCCAGCAACCTTCTACTGAATGCTAACTGTGATTTGAAGATATGCGACTTTGGATTGGCTCGCACTACCTCGGAAACTGATTTCATGACCGAGTATGTTGTTACAAGATGGTACCGTGCACCAGAACTTCTGTTAAATTCTTCAGAGTACACAACAGCAATTGATGTCTGGTCAGTTGGTTGCATTTTTATGGAACTAATGGACCGCAAGCCCTTATTTCCAGGGAGAGACCACGTACATCAATTACGCCTATTGATGGAGGTTATGTAATGTATCTTAAATTTCTTACTTTATATTCTCATTATTTCTCCCATATGACTAGAATTAGCCTTCATTTGCCTACTTTATTTCTAGAGGGGCTGTATGGTTAAGCTTGGTTATAGTTCAAGATCGCTTCTTACTCACATTTACACATCAAAATGATGGAAAATATTATCATATTTGCACACTTTTTTACATAACTAGCTTTTGTTGTCTCAAATATTAAGCAACTCATACTAGCACTAAATGCTTTTTTTGTTTTCTTTTGCTTTGACCACAATGTGCAGGCACAAGCACAGGCAAGTGGTTTCTTTTAAACACCCATCTATAACTAATGTACACTGTAAACCTAAACCTCATGCACAATTTTGCAAGTTGGTGAATGTTCGAGAAGGCTGTTCACAGAACTAGCCCGAGGCGCACCAAGAGGGGGGAGGGGGTGAATTGATAATTTTAAGAACCCCAAAGCAGGAATACTATTTTTTGTTTTAGGCACAAAACAACTTAAACTTAATTCAGATATATTACTCAAAATAACATGCTGAAGCAATTTATATAAAAATTTATATGATAAATTTTTTTTTAAACACATGAAAATATTCTTATAGTAAAAATTTTTAAACTCAGTGCAGTTGATTGATAAGATTGAAACAAATAAACTCAACTTGCAAAGAAAGAAAATTGCATGAAAATAAAAATGCGGAAAATAAAAAAAACATACCAGAAATTTTTATAGTGGTTCGGTCAAACTTTGAACTACGTCCACTCCCCGGAGTCCTCCGCTCAGGGTACTATACTAACACTAAATGACTCTACTTTTACCCCAACAACAAGGCAGATAAGCTGTTACTAACTCTCTTTCACCAAACCTGATGCGGCGAAGTGCCGAAATCTATGTCACCTTCTCAATGATGATAGTGGACCTTGAATCATTTTTCTCCCTCCTGGAGAAGGAAGAGAACTCAAAGCTTTTTCTCCCTCCTGGAGAAGGCAGCATACCTCTAATCTTTTTCTTCCTCCTGGAGAAGGCAGAGTATCTCGAGGACTTGACTTCGAAGCCTCTCTCCTAAGAGAGTCTTCAAGGACTCACCAAGGCCACAGGAGGAGCAAAGGTGTAGCGAGCATTCTCCTTCCTCTCAAACCCCAATTTTCTATCAAAAACACCTCTCTTAAAGTTCCTTCTTCAGCCTAAGACTCCTCTTTCTTTTTTTAAAAATGAAGTTATAAAAGTTGCTTAAATAATGAGCTTCAAAAACCTTAAAATTTAAGTGAGTCGTCTTCTGTTCGTGCAGTATGATATAAGGCCATACAGTATAATCAATTCAAAAACTATTCATGTCCAGTACGATATGAATAGTAGTTTCAAATGAGCTGCTTAACTTTTCGAACACATCGTATAGTACGATTTATTTACTTTCTCTCAATTCGTACAGGACGATTTGTGGGACGATTGGATATCATCTCTGTTAATCATCCCGTACTACTCTTATCGTACATTATGGTTAGTTCATTTTTAGTAATTCATTATGCACGATGTAAACCTCATATAATACGATTAGTTCAAAATTCAAATTTCGAATATCTCACTTAATTTGTCTGGAGGCTAGGGTTTTAAGATCGTAATGAATTTTACAATATGATTAGTTCACTAATTAATTGTTCAATTAGCCGTTAAACCCATTCTCCCTATAACGGATTGTGTAGTATGTTTGTAAGTCATACAATACAATTAATACAAAAAATTTTAACTTTAAAATTTTTTCACTCCCTCTGTCTGTGTGTGCACGGTCACTCAATTGAATACTCTTATGTGGTCAAACTTAAGAAATATAAAATTTAAAAAATTAGAAGTACAGACGAATGTTTAAAATTGCGTATTCGGGTATTGAGGCGTTTTTCATTCATGAGGCGAGGCATAAGCCTCAAGGCGTTTTGAGGCGTAAGCCTCAAAATCAAAAGATTGCGTAAACATAAAATGATAATTTTTTTTATACTAATAAGTAAATAATATAAAACATAAAAAAACATAAGATATGAAGTGAAATCAAAATATCCCAATAGTAAGACAACATGAAATATAATTCGACTCAAAATTCTATCTTTCCCAAATCCTAGTATTCTTTTCATTAACATATAATTCCAATTTCCACAAATAAATATCAATGACATATCACATAAGAACTTATAAGTCATCAGCACTGTCATCACTAAGTGGTTCTTCATTTGAATCATCATTATGATGATCTGCTCTCTCCCTTTCCTCCTCTCCTATAGAGTCCAATGTCAGGTATTTACTTCAAGATTTATGTAAGTTTTAATATATATAGCGTGAGGCGTAAGCCTCATGCCAGTGAGGCGAGGCGGGCCTCAACCAAGTTGAGGCGCAAGCCTCATAAAAAAAACTCGAGGCGTTTTTTACTGGAATTGCGCAAAGGCGAGCCTCATATTGCGCAATTTTAAACCATGGTACAGACTCTGTTACTTGACATCCTATTCTATCCAATCTTGAGTTTCTAGTAGCATTGAGCAATATATATTTTACATGTAATTATAGTGTTCACAGATAAAAAAAAAAATTAAAATATCTACCGAGAAAAATAATAATTTAATCAATAATATTTATCATCATCAAAATCACATACTAGGGATCCTGGATTGTAATAATCAGGGATCTTGGATTGTAATAATCTCCCTTTTTTAATGATGACAAACAAATTTAGTTGATAGGTAAAATAAAATTCTTTTCTCCTAAGCACTCCCTCATTAAGTGATAGATTTAAAATTAGGGGTTCATTTTTTTTTAATTTATTGATTTTTTTTTATTTTTAATACAAAGAATAAAAATAGAAAAATTAAAGGCCAAAAAATAAAATAGTAGAATTAAAAACATAGACAAAATTGTATTAAAAAAAACATACAGTCACACATACAACCAAACATAATTTTCTCCCCCTTTGAACATTACAAGAAATAAAAATAAGAAAACATAGCAAACAAGCACTAAAAGTAGGACGAATCCTGATCAGGTGATAATGGTGAATATTTATGGATGGAGGTGAATTAATCTTCAATTGAGGAAAACGTTTCTCCAAACCACTCCATTTCTATCTCGTGTTGTTGTTGTTCTTGATGAATGTGATAGTCTAGCTGGGTTTCTAATCGTTCGAACCTCTAAATTATTTCATCGTGAGGGTAGGCATGGTAGAAAGGTGCGTATAGTCGTATTGATAGTGGTACAGGTTGTGGTGTAGGCCCATCTGTAGGAGCAACTTTCCCTTCTTCATCAAAATCTTGCTCGTCATGCTCGAGCCCCTGATGAAAAAGAATACTTAAGGAAGCATCCATATATAAGATAGGAGTATTTTCGGGAGGTGCCTAATAGGTTAGTTCGTATTTCTTGTCGAGGATATAGGCTATGATATGACCTTGGACAACATTTTGTTTTTTCCTAGTCGAGGGATGTCAAATTAGAGTCATGTTTTGGATATAGTCAATAATCATTTGAGTTTCATCAAATTTAATATTGAAAATTATGAAATAGGTGACTAGGGAAAAAAGTGGAGTGATGTTGACACGATCATCAACTTTGGATTGAAAAACATGCTTGATAATTCGAGCATTTTGATTTAGAGAGTAGACTAAGGGCTGATGTTGATTTAAATCCACATTCCGAATGGTTAGGTTTACAATGCTCCAGTACAAATCAGTTTTAGAGTCCATGGATTGTGGACGAGATCCTACAGTAGAAAAATCGTTATGCTCCCCTAAATCTTTCTTATTGATTTCTACGGGTTGTCGACATATATAGGAGGTCATGGCGAAGGTTTCCGCATTGATCATAAGGTTGGCTAGGAATTCGCAGAGAAACTCAAAATTAAAGGGAAATACTAGGGTGAGATGGAATTGAAGAATTGTGGAAGCAAATGGGTTCATCACCTCGAAGTTTAAAGCAGGTTGATTGAGCATTTTAGAGGGAGTGATGTGAGCCTCCTTGAATTTATAGTACACATCTTCATCTTGAACGGATCAAAATCTATCATCAACTGAGCGACGAGAGGAGCTCCCTTGGTTCATTCAACTGTGTTTACTTCCACCGACCATTGAAGAATCCTAAGATTATGAATGTAGGAATATAAAGAATGAAGGAGTTCAATGGATTGAAAACTTAGGAGACCCTTCAATTTATAGATTTGAGGGAAATCGTACAATACGATTGTAGATCGCTTAGTATGATCAAGAGAGTTAAATTGTCTGTACGACTTGTCGGAAAAAGGTAGCCAAATTGTACTGGATGATCTTAAGGAATTACGTTCGTCCCGAGGATGTACCTTGGTGTATGTTTTTTGCTGATGATATTCTGCTTGTTGATAAGACTAGAAAAAGAGTTGAAGGTAAACTCGAATTATGGAGGTCAATCTTAGAGTCTAAAGATTTTCGCTTGAGTAGATCTAAATCGATTACATGGAGTGTAATTTTAGTAGTAATAGATCTAGTGGGGGGTTTGTGACTTTGAGCGATCAAGCCATTAATAAGTGTACTCGTTTTAGATATCTTAGGTGTATTATTCATAGTGATGGTAAAATAGATGGGGATATTATTAGTAGAATTCAAGTTGGATGGTTGAAGTGGAGGAATGCTTGTTGTGTGATAGAAACGTACCACTCAAACTTAAAGGAAATTTTATAAGACAGTTGTGAGACATGCAATGCTTTATGGCCCAGAATGTTGGCCATTAAAAGAGAAGCATAATATTAAGTTATGTGTTTCTGAGATGAAGATGCTCAGGTGGATGAGTGGATTTACTCTTAGAGATTGGATACATAACGAGCATATCCGCGAAAAGGTTGGAGTAGCTCTAGTGATATATAAGATTAGAGAGAGTCGTCTTAGATGGTTTGGTCATGTAAAACGGCATCCTTGTGATGACCTTATTAGGAGAGTAGATGTATTAGATTTGACCTATGTTAAGAAAGGTAGAGAAATACCTAAAAAGATTTGGTTAGAAAATATTAGAATTAACCTTTCTTTATTAGATTTAAATGAGAATTTGACTCTTAATAGAACACAATGGAGAAAATGAATTCATGTTGCTGACCCCATGTAGTGGGATAAAGGTTAGTTGTTGTTGCTACTTTTTTCCACTTAACATTGGCTTCCTCATGCACAGACAAAATCTTAAAATCTAATATCTTACTCTAAAAACTTTTTTTTTTAATATTCTTTAAATGTCTCATCTAATTCTATAACAACGTTTTACTTTATTTTGTATTTTCTGTCGGTTTATCTTAAATTCCAAAACTAATAAGCGATGTTTGGTACATAAATTTTTACTTGGAATAACTTTATGATCTTTGTAATGTAAACGTTATATTTTTCTTATAAGAAAATAATCAATCTGAGTTCTACTACATTTATTCTTATAAGTGATGAGATGCTCGTTTTTTTTCTTAAATAAGATACTAACAATTACAAAACACTTATAATATAAAATAATCTTAGCATCAACGATAATCTTTAAAGCTACTATACTTTTCTATAAAAAGCCTTTTTGATTGTAAGCATGTTGACACCCTCATGGAGACTTAGACCACATAATGATGGAAGATCTCTTGATAAATTATATCAATACCAAAGTTGGTAGGTTGATTTATTTGACTGTTAGCAAGACTAGCATTTATTTAATCTTTGGAGTCGTGAATTAGCACTTGCAAAGTTCAAAAAGAAGCATTGGAATGTCTTTTAACTATGGATCCTCAGATATATCAAAGTCTCAATGAAAAGGGTTATATACTAAAATTGAGCATCATAACATTAAAGCATTCTCGGATGTAGTTTATGTTGGCTTAGTTGAAGACATGAAGTTAACCTCAACGTATTATATCTTTGTTAGGGGGTAATATAGTTACTACGAAAAACAAGAAACAATCTATTGTTTTTAGATCCAATGTTGAAGTTGAATTTAGAGAACACGCGAAATGATGTGGGGAAACTTTGTTTAGGAGAGTTCTGTTTTCCTGTCAGCTCATGGCATTATATTGTGACAATCGTACCACTATCTACATCATCAGCAATACTACTTTTCATGAATGAGTTATGCTTATTGGAGTAACTTTCCATTACATACAGGTTGTTGTGCTTTCCCAAAAAAATATTACTCGTGTTTTCTGTTCATAATCAATGGCAAATGCCTTTAACAAAGCTCTAGGTCATCTCACTTTTCTCGTTTATGTAACAAATTGGAGCTAGCTAATATATATGCTCTAGCTTCTTGGGGATTGTTGTCATATTTTAGGTAGGTTCCTTGTAATGGGTAAGTTGTTATTATTAGAGAGACGTGACTTTGTATCTCCATAATTGGGGATATTATTCTTCCAAATTTATTTTATATTTAAGTAGAGGTATTAGATTTGACTTATGTTAAAAAAGGTAGAGGTAGACCTAAAAAGATTTGATTAGAAAATATTAGAAATGATCATTCTTTATTAGATTTAAACGAGAATTTGACTTTTAACATGGCATAATGGAGAAAAATGATTCATGTAGCCGACACCACATAATGGGATGAAGGCTTGATGTTGTTGTTGTTGTTGTTGTTGTTGTTGTTGTTGTTTCTTATATTTCTATTTAGAGGCTCATCATATTCAGTCAATAATACAAAAATTTCTTTTCTCTGAAGAACTGATAATTGTCGTATGTGATACTGTGAATATCTGACAAAAAGAAATGTTCACGAGTTTAGGAAAATTCACCTATATATTTTTTGCTGGTCTGCTTACAGTTTATCTTATGAATAAATTTCATTCAGTATAATTTGAGAAAATTTATTTTGTTTTCTGGGTCTTTACATTACCATCTGATTGCAGACGGAAATTCTTATGAGAATTGATATATGCATGCACTAAAAGTTTTTGCTTGCTAGATTTTTTTTTGTCCACCTGTGTCCCCCATTGAAGGCTTGTGTTGTCATCCTGCCTTAACTTTGATAAGTGTGATTCTGCAGCTTATAGGAACTCCTGATGAAGCCGATCTGGGATATGTAAATGAGAATGCAAGAAGATACATTAATCAGCTTCCTCGCCATAGACCCCAATCGTTTCATGAAAAATTTCCTCATGTTCATCCTCAAGCTATTGACCTTGTTGAAAAGATGTTAACATTTGATCCAAGAAAGAGACTTACAGGTGAGTTTGTTCTACCTGTTTTTTTTTTTTTTGGATTTGCTGCTTCAAATTTGATAATATTCTAGAAGTTGCTGACTTCAATCCAACATTTCCAAGTAATAGCTTTTTTATATAATGTATTTTTTTAACAAGAAATGCATGGTTGGTACTTATGTATGCAATTGTTTCAAGAATTCAGATGCAGATGTAACTACACCAAACACTTTGATAGTTCATACCGCGTGATAGTTTCTAAAAACATAATTCATCATTAAGTTGTCTCCTAATGTTGATTTTCGTTTGGTATCATCATTTATCCTAGGGTTCATTTCCCACCGTAAGTCTTTTATCATCTTGGCGTTTTTCAATTTACCCAAGGAAGAAACTCAGTTGTTAGCTTGTAAGTTGGGGCATGTTTGTATTAATGTTTAGGCTCAATCCAGCCCAGCCAAATGGGTAGTTCGGTATGCTTTAGAAAGGTATGGAATTAAGGTTAATCATGACCTAGTCTAGGTTTAGTTCGGTTACAAACCTGCTAACTTGATTTTTCTCAAATACCAAGGGTAAATCATGGAGGAGGGAGAGGAGATGAGGAACTCATAAGTGACGACAAAGGAAGTTGACAGTGTGATCACGGAGAACATTTGATGGAAGTTTTGCCGAAGAGGGCGTTGATGGTGTGATGATAAGGTAGAATTATGGATATAAAGATCTAGTAGGACAAACATGTGGAGGCCAAGGTTAGCGAGGAAACTGAACAATGTGGTAATGAGATACTACCTCCCTCACCACCCATCATAACTTTCTAGTTAATCTTGTTTGATTGAGAGCAATACTATACTAAGATGGGTAACCCCCTAAAAAGTCTGTGTTAAACGCTTTTTTAACCTCATTCCTTTTTATATCAAAGAGTCTTGGCTTGAACATTATACTTCTTAATTTATAGTCTAAGAGGACTCAGCACTAATATCAGTGGATGCAATTATGATAATTTTTTCCTGATCCATATGGATTTAATATCTATAATTGACCTTGTCCCCACCTATATTTGCAACTGGCCTAATGTACACTTTTTATCTATACTAGCCGTGAGCCCGCATTTCACAGTATATTTGTACTTTGACCTCACCTAATAAAATTATGAATAGATTTCTATCCTTTAAAAGAACACCAACAACTTCATAGATGGAACCCCTCCATCTGAATTGTAGTGGCACTGGCCAAATGGAAACAGTCTAATTAAGGACTAGGCAGGCAAAGGGGACACCTAGAGTATTGATGGCAATGCCATGTTAGAAAGACAGTGGAGGAATTAATATAGACCATTGGATTTGCAGTCGTCCATATTTAGTTCTGTTAAGATGAAGTTATTTTAACCATGTCAAGTCTACTCGGAATTGGTTCCAACTTCCAAATCCTACAAGAGATGGACAGATCTGTTTCAGGTATTTGGGTTGGCATTGTTATTGGTTAGCCCTAACCCTTTACAGATTTTAAGTCAGGTTGGGGAAAACACACTAAATAATTTTTGTTCTCGTTGCTTTAACTTTTGTTTGCAAAAATAAACATTTCCCACATTTTTATGCTATATTTGGCTCAAATGAATGGAGAAGGGTTGATGGAGTTATTTATTATTTTTTTCATTTAACTTTTTTGGAAGCTGATCTAAACACTGGGATAATACTAGTGATAATGACGATTGTTCCCACATTTTTTATGATTGTACAATATGTGGACTACTCCATTGTTTGGCATTCTTTAATTTTGACTTGTTGAAATGGAAAACTGGGATTTTATCATTGACAATCAGAATATCTATGGAGATTCAGGAAAATGTTATCGAACTTCTTCCCATGTGTGTTTCCATATATTATCTTCTAACTAGTGATTTTCATGCAGTTGAAGAAGCCCTCGAACATCCTTACCTCGCATCATTGCATGACATCAGTGACGAGCCAGTCTGCTTGATGCCATTCAGCTTTGACTTCGAGCAGCATGCTTTGTCAGAGGAGCAGATGAAGGAGCTAATATACCGTGAGGCCCTTGCTTTCAACCCTGAGTATCAATTTATTTAGGGTTTTGCTTTCTGAATTTAGATGCACTCCATTTTTTTTTTTTTCGCTTGTCTGCTTAGCTCCCATTGTTTTTGTATTCTAGGATCCATGTATATTGTATATATCGTTATTGAACTACTTTCTGCTTCTGTTATATTGACTGTAAAATCTAAATGCAAAGAATTTGTTTTGGTGGAATATTAGTTTGTTTGCATCTAATTTTACTTTCGGCTTTATTGGTTTGCTTAAGAGGTAGCTTTTATAAAGCAAATTTTGAGAAAATTAAAGAAAACACGATATATTATTTTGAAGATTAAAATGATGTCAGATGAGTGTAGAATGGGTGTGTTGCTTCCTGTTTTTAAGAATAAAGGTGATGCACAAGATTGTGCAAATTATAGAGGAATTAAGTTAATGCGTCATATTTTAAAACTATGGGAGAGAGTTATGAAGCATAGATTGCAGTGTGATACTAATGTTTCTCAAAATCATTTTGGATTCATGCTGGGTAGGTGGTAGGTCTATTATGGAAGCTATTTTTTTTATCCTCTAAATGTCAATGTTGTTTCCATTTTGAGAATATGCATCATGTTTTTCATTCTAGCCCTACTGCTACAGAAGTTTGGATTTATTTTGACGATTTGTTTGGCTCTAGTCATTTCTATGGTAACATGAGCATTTCTGACATGCTTAACCTATGCTTTACTAATTATAAAGGCCATATTAAGAATGTTATTCCCTCTCTTATTTTATGGTTTTTATGCCTTGAAATAAATGACTCCTTTTTTATAATATTAGCATGAACCATTACAACATTTTAGATAAAATCAAAGGTAATGTGCTTAATTTGTTCTCTATTAATCGTCTAGGCAGTAAAAATTTTTGGGGTTACAATTCTATTGCTAGAAAATTAGTCATTTTTTGCCTCTTAACAACACCATGATGAGCCCAACTCGGTCTTTTGAATTAAACCTAAATCAAATATTTTCAAAATGAATATTGATGGTTCTGTTAATGGTTGTGGCTATGGTGGTATTATTGGGGATTTTTGGGTAATAATATCATGGCTTGTGCTGCTCCTTTACATGAATATTATGTTATCTATGCTCAGCTCTATGGTATCTTATATGGTCTTACGTTGTGCCCGTCTTTAGGCATAATTGATATTTGGATTGAGATGGATGCTACCAATAGCCTTTATTGTTTTAAGGATTCTGATAATAATGGTTGTGGTCCAAATTTATTCTATCTTATTTGGGATATTAAGCAGCTCTACATTCTTTTTAATTTCCACTTGTCTTATATCCTTAGTTGGGATATTAAGCAGCTCTACATTCTTTTTAATTTCCACTTGTCTTATATCCTTAGGTAAGGTAACTCCTGTGCTAATTGGTTGGCCAATTTTGGGTGTAGTTTTGGTTACCGCATAGAACTTACGTACTCTAACTTGTGTGTCTTCTTGAAAGGCCATATTATATTGGATAAAATTGGTTTTCCTTATTTTAGATTATAATTCTATTGGTGTATGTGTTTGCTTTATTGGTTTTAATTCTCTTTTGTTCTTTACTTCATGTTGGTTTTGTTTTCTTTTGTTTTCCTAACTATTATGATGCTCTATTGTCTATTTTGGTTGGATGTGCCGCTTAACCCTTTTATTTTGGGTTCTGTTTGGGTTGTTCTTCTATTTGTAAATGGTTGTTTAGCTTGTTCTTTTTGTCAATAGTATTGCTTGTTTTATCATTAGCCAAATGTGTTTGTTTTTTTCATTATTCTCTTTACTAATATTTTGGTTTATAGATTATTGTTATTATACCTTCTTTTTTTGGTTAACCAAATTGTGCAATGTGTGCTGCAAGCTTTTGTTAAAGCTGAGGACTATTCTGAAGTGTTGTGCTACTGGGATTTTAGGATGAAGGATTGCACTGAGAGGTTATAGTGGTTCTCCTCTTTTTTGGATATTGGCTTTTGGCCACCCAAGATTTTCTAGTTTTTTTTGGCTTACTTATACTTGGTGGGGAATTTTTGCTATAGGTTTTATTTGCATTTCTTGTAGCTTTCATAGCACTATCGAGTTATTATTACCCTGTAAGGACTTGTAATGTTAATTTTATTTAACACATAGGGTAAAATTCATAAATAATTAATATAAAATCATAAAAATAAAAGTAGTTTGCAATGCACTCTTAATAAACATACAAACATTTAAAAAATGAAATTAGACCAAAATCAAATCTTAAAGTTTTATGTTAAACTTGATCAAACTCAAGTTTAAATGTAAAACAATTAAAAGAGATCAATAAAAAGTACCTGAATTCACCAAGCTTCAAATGGTTCTAGTTTTTTCTTTAAATGGCTTTTATGTTAGAAATAACTCTTAAAATGAGCATTCATAAAACTTAGAAATCATTTAGTAGGTTAAGTCCAAACTTGAAGATTTAAATGTAAACACCTCATCAAAATAAATAATAATAATAAAATACTTACATTTCTCTTAGGCTTAGAACTTATTAGTCAATGCGCTTATTGTACTTTGTGTTTGTTGATTAAAATGTTCTTCAAAATTAAAATCAAATTTTAAAACACTAAACTTTAAAATATAAGATAAAATTATAACTTATCAAAACTTAAACTTAAAATTAAACTCCTTGACATGAAACAAAATCAAAAAGTTATAAATATAACCACCCTATACTTAATAGGAAACACTAATCCACACAAACCTACCTCACATTTTAGATTGATTGTTAGGATAACTAAATTTAATTCTGGGCTAGGATGTTGTTCTAGGTTACTCAAAAAATGAGCTAGTGCCCTTAAGCACTATGTGATGACTAAGATATTGTGATGTGTTTTGTGAATTATAAACTACTTTGAACTAAACCTACATATTATAAATAGTATATTTTTAAATTTTTTTTCATATGTAAATATAAATATAAATGTAATTATAAAAATGTAAAGTCTAAGAATATGAGATGTTCCTCTTAAGGAATAAGGAACTGAGGGAGAACTTCATTCCATAAGAAGGTTCTTCTGCTTTAGATGTCTTATGGGAGGATCTAGTAAAATATATATATATATATATATAATCATGAAAATTAGCCCAATATTATAGCACAAACTTCCCCGAATGCCACAATGCTCCCAAGCAATTATCATTTTTTAAAAATTCTCATAAACAAAGACTTAGTTCTTTAGTATTGCTCCATTAGTGCCTTAACACTCCCAAGAGCTCCCCAATATACAGAAAAGGCATTATCACAAGGTTCAGTACTACTGAGCTCCCATCCCAATGCCGCAGTACTCCTAGGGAATTTTTTCTAGTTATAAATTTGTTATGTAAATATATTTGAAAGGAATTTATAATTATTTAAATAATTTTATAATTCTTTCTAGGTTCATATCATGTCATTTTCTAATAGATTTAATAGTGGAAGAAAATAATTAGAGTGATTAATTGATTATGTTCCTGTGGTGCGAAAGTTCTTTGAAATGTTCATAGAGGAGTTGGTGAGTTTACTCCCTTAGAGAGGTATTGATGGGGACATCAGATCCTGGAAGGTTTATCAGATGCGTGGCCACCGATCTACCGCCACGATTGAGTCATTGTACTTTTGATTTATTTTATGTATTTTCTTATTTATGCTGTCGTTGTATTTGTTTTATTTAATTTTTCATTGTAGCCTTTTAGTAAGGGATGTCGTAAGTAATCCCCGAGGGCATTGTCATCTTTATTATTTTGAGTCATATGTACGAGGCTATTTATAGCCCGATGTTTCTCTTTCAAAGGGAATGAATGACCAAGTAAAATTTTCATTTCTCTTGTTTGGCTGCTCATTAGAGATTGAGAGTTTGGAGTGAAATCCCTAGGAGATGAAGAATTGCGTAGTACCACCTACCTAGACAAGTCAGATTCGTGGTTTTCTTCCCTATCTTTTTCCTTTCCCCTCTTACCACCACCACCGACCATCATTGCACCCAAACCCTTCTCCCTCCCCAAGCCATCACCTCTTTGCGACCGAGCTCCACAAACATCCCAACTAGCCGCCAGCCCCCTTACCTGAATCCCCTCCACCCGCCGGCCCTAGCACCCTTTCCTTTTTGATTTCTATTGCCTAATTTGGATTGGAATAATTGGGACATATTTTGAATTCAAATTTAATCAATTTGAAATTTAAAATCCTTCTTAAATTATTAAATCTATTTTAGGAAAGTTTCTAAATTAACCCTATTTGAATTTCAAATTTAAATTGGAGTTAATTTAAATCTTTCCTAATTTCTAGACCCCAAATAGGAAGCCCCAATCAATTCCCCCCAATCCCCTCCCACCCTCTTGATGCCACCGGCCCCCCTTCAATAAATCCAATTGGATTTATTTCCAAACTTCCCCTCCCTTCCTATTTAATTCCACTTGCTTTTGGGAAAGTATTTGAATTTGAAATTAAATCCAATCTAGATTTCAAATCTTTTCTATGTCCTCTTAATCCTTTTTGGAAGGATCCTAATTTAAATTAATCAATCAACTCATGATGGATTGATTCAATTAAATCCATAATTCCAAATACATTGCATCTAGACACATTCCCCCTTCTCTTGCTTGGCCGAAACCCCCCTTGTCCCCACCTCTTGATTTCTTTCTCAAATTAAAGCTTTTCCTATTGGAATTAAAGTTCCAATTAATTCCTAATCCCTCCAATTAAAAATTTGAAATTTATTTCAATTTTTCAGTTGTTCTTCCCTACTTAACCTACTACTCTTCCCCAACCCTCTTCCCTTGCCCAGCCACACCTTGTCATCCCACTTCAAGTTGAAGAGAAACTTCTTTCTCTTCAACAAAGTTCAAGATTACTAGCACCCCTTGGAGGATATCGTCATTTAGCATCCATGAATAGCCGATCCCGACACTGATTACGGACTTGCTTATGATGAGCACGGTTTTGTGCACATTATCCATTCAACCTTCTTCGACATCAACCCGAGGATCGACCACACAGTAGAAGACTATATAGAGCGTATCTTGGATACCTTGGTGGAAGCAATAGAAGAACAATTGGAGATCATCGAGTCAGAGATTGCAACCGATCCTTGACGAAGGTTTCCTAATCACTAATTTTCTTGTATTTTCTAATTCTAATATTTTCTTTGTGATATTGATTGTAATCTTGAAGGTCACATCTACCTACTTCTGCCAAGCTTAATAAACGTAGGAATTTGAGTGC